TCCCGCGCCCGCCTCCCGCGCCCGCTGCTGCAGGGGCGGCTCCCGGCGCGCTCCTTCCCCCTGCCCTCAGGCCACTGACGTTTTGGGGCACTGGCGGATCATTTTAATACCTGCGGGGGATCAGTATTCTTACCAAGTGAAAACAACTCGAGTTTCTGTGTCCTGTGATTTCAGGAGTGTTTATTTTTACTTCGTTGCAGCAGGAAACGCAGCATTACCTGAGAGAGTTGGAGGTGACTGTGAGGAGTTAACGAGGAAGGGGGTAGAGGCTAAGAGTTGTTTTCCACATTCTCTGAGTGTGAAACTTTTTTTTTTTTTAAGAATAGGATAGATGTGATTTTTTTCCAGTATTTTATTGGAACATTTTCTAATATACAGAAAAGTGGGAAACATTTTGCAGTCAACCCATTGCGTAGATTCTACCCCTAAATTCAAAAGTAATTGCTTTTTAAGTATCCATCCATCCATCCATCCATCCATCCTTGTGTCCATCAGTCCTTTATGTTGTTAAAATGCTGACCTCAATATACTTCCCCTAAATGCTTCAGCATGCATATCGTTAACCAGTTTTCATTAGTTTTTTTTTCCTTTTGAGGCAAAAGTTATATGTCAACAAACCTTATGTGTACTGTTTTGAGCTTTGACCCAAACTTCTTTCAAGATAGAGAACATGACCATCACTCTAGAAAGTTCCCTCTTGCTTGTTCCCAGCCAATCCCCACCTATCCCTTAGAACCAAACACTCTTCTGAATTTTTTCAGAATAAAGTGCTTCTGCCTATTCTAGAACATCATGTATACAGAATCTTGCAGTGGGTAGTTTTTGTCTAAGGCTTTTTTCCCCCTCAGCATAGTGTTTTTGAGATTCACCTGTGTGATTGTGTGTGTCCGCAGGTCATCCATTCTCGTTTCTGAGTAGTAGTTCATTGTGTCCTTAGACCACAGTTTGTTTAGCCATTTCCTGTTGAATACATGAGCTGTTTCAAATATTCCATAGGGGAGTGTTAACATAGTCATCATATTGTAGATTACGTTCCAGTGATTTATTTATAACTGGAAGCGTGGTACCTTTGGACCACCTTTATCCAGCCTCTGGTAACCACAAATCTGATCTTTTTTCTTTTTTTCCTTTGAGTTTTATTTATTTATTTTTAGGTTCCATATAGAAGTGAGATCATAAAGTATGTGTCTCTTTCTGACTTATCTCACTTAGCATAATGCCCTTGAGGTCCATCCATGTTGTCACAAATGGAAGGACTGTTTTCATTTTATGGCCGAGGAGCATTTTATTGTATATACATATATTCTACTACTTTACCCATTCATTTGTTGACAGACTCTTCAGTTGTTTCCATATCTTAGCTATTGCAAATAATACTACAGTGAACATAGGGGTGCACGTATCTTTCTGAGTTAGTGTTTTCATCATAAGGTAGTTCTATTTTTCATTTTTTGAGGAGCCTCCATACTGTTTTCCATAGAGGCTGCACCAGTGTGCAGTCCCACCAACAGAGCACGAGGGCTCCCCTTTCTCCACACCCTCGCCAACACTCGTTTGTTGATTTCTTAATGACAGCTGTTCTTATAAGTGTGAGGTGGTACCTCACTGGGGTTTGGGTCTGCGTTTCCCTGATGATTGGTGATGTTGAGCCTTTTCATGTACCTGTTGGCCATTTGAGTATCTTTGGAAAAATGTCTAATCAGTTCCTTTGCCCATTTTTAAAAATGAGGTTGGTTGTTTTTTGCTATTGAGTTATATGAGTTCTTTATGTATTTTGGATATTAATCACTATCAGAGACATACTTTGCAAATGTTTTCTCCCATCCCTTTGGCTGCCTTTTCACTTTGCTGATGGTACCTTTTGCTGTGCAGCAGCTTTTTTAGTTTGATGTGATCCTGATCTCTTCTTTTTTATTCTGTTGTTTGTGTCATATCCAAAAAGACATTGTCAAGACCCATGTAAGGAGCTCTTTTCCAGGCCCATTTGTTTAAAACTTGTGTATTACGTGGACTACATTCAGAGACAAATACATTTTCTGGACCTTGTTTGTTGGGTTTTATTATTTCTGTTATAATTTTATTTGAAATTTATAAACAAAAAAACTGTTAAGTTTTTATTCTTTGCTGGTATACAGCCATAAAAGCAATGAACACAAATTATGTATGAACCGAACTTTGAAAACAATTAAGTGCAAGTTAACTACATTAGTTTAATGTAGGGGATGATACAGTTTTGCTGAAGCTGAATTGGTGCTTGTACTCAGGAGGTAGTACCCCATTTCAGCATCAGTTCCCTTGGGGTTGGCAGGCTAATGGGGCGCCGTATGATGACTTAATTCTGCCATTTTTTTCCATTTGAATTTACATGAACTGCTTGTTCATATATCACTTGAATGTTATATGAACATCATTTAAGTGTTGACTTGACCTCCATGCCTCTTTTCTTTACAGCCAGAGAGTAGAGAGTATTGTTGAACACCAATGCAAGTATAAATTGCATGCAGCAAATTGTACCAGTATCCAGCCTTACAGGCCTAATCTAGATGATATAGCATTTGGTCGTCTTAATTTATTTTAGATTATCATCAAAAATGCATAATTTAGAAATCTCCTAGCAAACTGTAGACCTTCAAGAATATAAATCGCTGTTGCCCATGGGCCCCACGGCACAGCATTAGAAGTCTCAAAAGAGGAAAAGGCTAAGAGTGTCACCAAGGCCTGGAGGGTCCTAGTGATCTTGTCAGGGCAACATGGTGAATATTTCACTCCTCGGGCCCTAAGGACCTGAGTGTGAAAACAGAGGAGCCAGAGAGCAGCCGGCTTGGGAAGGTCACGATGGAGAGAACGCTCCAGGTGTGCTTGTTGAACCAGCCAGGGATGTAGCACAGCTGCCGGCTCCTGCACTGCTCACCTAGGAAGGGCTAATGTCTTGTTTATTGCTTCGCACACTAAATGGTCGGATTCAGATGTCACAGGCAGAAACATGAACCTAGAGCATAGTAAAATACTGCTGGTGGAGCCTGGATATAATTTTGTTTTCAGGTTTTTTATTTTGGGTTTTCTTAAAGCAAGGCACATCGTCGGTCCAACAACAGGGAGACAAATGTTGGACTTCCTGTGTGTGTCCTTTACTTATCTGCTTATTTAAATTGTTTTTCATTGTAGTAAGAATGTTTAACATGAGATATGTGCTCTTCACAGATTTTTAAGTGTACAATATAGTATCGTTAAGTATAGGTGCGATGTCACACGCATCTCTAGAGCTTACTCATCTTGCACAGCTGAGACTTTATCCCCCTTGAGAAATAGCTCCCCATTTCACCCTTCCCCCACCCCAGCCTCTGGCAGCTACCGTTCTGTTCTCTGCTTCTGTGAGTCTGAGTGTCTCAGATAACCTCATGCAAGTGGAGTCCTACTGTGTTTGTTCTTCTGTGGCTGGTTTATTTCACTTGGTATAACATCCTCAGGGCTCATTCATGTTGACAGTCACATATGGCAGGATTTCCTTCTTTTTTTAAGGCTGCATAGTATTCCATGTGCCCTTCAGATGTACATTAAATGCAGTGCCCTTAGTCCAACCTAACCCACCTGGATGCTTTCTCCTCTGTGGCTAATTCTCTTGTAATTTTCCAAATGCCTTCATGGTCCCCATTGACTGGGATCGTAAGGAGAATGAAAGAAGTTTCCAGAATCCAAGGAAGGGCTGAGGCCTGAACAGGAACTGGCTGGGGGTCAAATCCCACAATTGTGTGGTGCTTTGCTGCCTCCCTGCTGTTTCCAGAGGGTTGCTATTACACCTTATTATCGATTTTCCATATACCACCTTATAATTTGGGTCTGGAAGGTTTTCCATCACTTCCTGTCCCTCTGGAAACACCTGTATCATAGCATCTGAGCTTAATTTCCCCTGTCCACTCATCTTTTAACTTTACCCAATGGGCTTGGCTCTGCCAGCCCACCCAGCCAGCCCCTCCCTCCACTAGGCTCTCTCTGCAGGCCACCCGGTGGGCAGTCCAGCAGTGGACAGCCCTGGTGTCTGACAGCAGAGGGCTTGGGCAGGAGGCCGCATATGTTTTGTGAGACTCCAAAGGCCTGTGGTTTGTAAACCCGTTGAAATTCCATCCAAAATACTAGCCGGATTTTTCTAATCTGCAACCTCAATACTCATGGATCCCACATTTTGTAGGTGGTAAGGTAAATGGTAATTGAGGTTTGCAAATTTTTATGTAATTTATTCTAGTTTTCTCCCCATGGCTTGTGGGCTAGAACTTATACAGCTTCGCCATAGTTGCGTCTTCCTGTTTAGAGAGCCTAGTATAATATTTTGTCTTCTGGGCTCAAAGAACCACGTAATTACTCTGTAATCATATAGTAATTAGCATGTACTATATGCATTTATTACATAATTATATTCCTGGAGGATTGCATGGCAATTACACTTAGGTTCGGCATATCATTTTATAGACTGTGTAATGAACAAGTGTATAATTTGTTGCTTTTTTCTTTTATCCTGATTTCAGTTTACCAACCAGGAGTTGGAAACTTCTCCTCCTGTTGCCTTGTTTATATGTAATTGGGCAGGTGCCCGAGCTCCTTTGGCCTCTCTCAAAACCTCCTAATTACGCGTCGAAGAGAGTGCTAGGAGCTTGTGTTCTGCCGTGGACTCCCAGCGTTTGCGCTTAATATTTACTCCTTAGGTTATTAGCTCATTAGGTTATTAGCTTCAAAACACAGAGTGGAGCGGAGCTCCCAGCACGGCCAGGTAGACACAAGGTCTCGATTAAAACAGAGGAGGTGTGAGAGCCCAGGCGCCCGCACGGTGCTCACGCCTGCCTTTCTGTCCCTTTCAGTGGAGCACATCCCCAAAGGAAACAACTGCCTGGACGCCGCCAAGGCCTGCAACCTCGACGACACCTGCAAGAAGTACAGGTCCGCCTACATCACCCCGTGCACCACCAGCATGTCCAACGAGGTGTGCAACCGGCGCAAGTGCCACAAGGCCCTGAGGCAGTTCTTCGACAAGGTCCCGGCCAAGCACAGCTACGGGATGCTCTTCTGCTCCTGCAGGGACATCGCCTGCACCGAGCGGCGGCGGCAGACCATCGTGCCCGTGTGCTCCTACGAGGAGAGGGAGAAGCCCAACTGCTTGAGCCTGCAGGACTCCTGCAAGACAAATTACATCTGCAGGTAGGCGCGCCGGGGGCCGGGTGACGGGTGCGGCGGCAGGGAGAGCGCCGTGGTGGCCTCTGGCCAGGCGCCCGGGAGGGGCGGGCAGTCATTGGAAGGATTGGCCAGAAACTGACCTGTGCGTCTGACACGTGGTTCTTTGAAAGCTGGGGAGGTTCCCAGTTTAATCTGGGGAGAGCATGGAGAGGTGCTGGAATGAGGTTAGTCAGCAGGGAGGGGCGCCTGAAGGCACGTGCCCTCCAGAGGCCCTGAGACTGCAGGGAGTGCCAAGGGGTTAAGTCAGGGAGGGGTGGGCTGGACACGTGGAGGCTCTTGGACATCAAGGTCAGAACACTGGAGGAGACCAGAGACGGACTAAGCTGTGTCCAACTGGAGAGCACTTCCAGAATCCCGGGGTCTGTTCTGGGCATTCAGTCATCGATGTGGTCCAGAGGAGCAGTCACCTCGCTGCTAGGACATGCTTCCCAGTCCAGCCTCCATCGGACACCTGCCAACCCCGGGGCCCTGCTGCTGAAAACAGTCACTTCCTTTTCCCTTGTGGCCACTTACTGTTTTAATGTTCGAAGCCACATTCTCGGTTTTCATTTTTTATATATTTTTAGCAATATAGAGTTCGGCAGAGGGAAAGAAAAGGTCTCTCTTCATGCTGTTCTCTTTTGCCCCCAACTGACATTATCAACAGTTTGATGTGTGTCCCTCCAGAGTTTAGGATTGAATTCAGTTGCTGATCGAAGCAAGTAGAGTTTTATGAGCAGAGACTTAAGTCATTGCGGCCTCAGGCGATGCTGGTGCCACATTCAGATGCGAAGGCTGGATCCAGGGCTGGAGGTTCAGAGGAGACATCAGTTGACCACACCTGTGCTTTGTCCCCTGGTAGAGCCAGGAGCCCCCAAATGCCAAGTCCTAGGCACCCAGTAAATGCTCACAGTGGATAACAGATGAGGGTGTGTTATGTGCCTGGTTTCTTGTAGCTGCCCCATTTCTAAAAGCAGGAAAGAGAAGTTATATTTTGAGGATTCTGGTAAGCTGAGTTTCTGGTCCCTTTAAGTTTTGTTTTGGTAGAATGGGATCCCTGTCTTTCCTTAAACCAGCTCTAAGAGGGACCAAAGGAAAAAAGTAGAACTGTCTCATGCTGGAGATTTTGTGAGAGTAATATCCTTCGATTTTTTTTTTTTTTTAAGTTAGAAGCAGGTGACCTGCTATATGAGGAAGAGCTCAGGTGACCAAGTGGGTCTTGGGAGGGGTCAGGTGTTCCTGCAGAGCAGCTTCTCCAAGGAGCCTTCCTCACTCCCGCACCCCCATTCCATCAAGCCCCTCTCAGCGGTGGGCTAGGATGGGGGGTGTCTACACGGGAAGGGTCCTGAGGAAGAGGCAGAGGCCCTATACAGCTCTGGCCTGGGGAAGCCAGTCAACCAGGGACCCCCTGCAGGAGATGGATGTGGTGAGGAGCGGGACACGGGGCGAGCAGGTGGGAGCTTTGCTCAGGGTGGAGGGTGTTAGGGGGCAGATAATCTGAAGACCCCTCTTCTGAAGACCTCTGGGTCTGAAACCCAAGTTCCTAGGCCAAGTTCAGCCTTTCACCAGAAGGGATCCCTCTTCTAGGAGCAGGTCTGGGTCTCCAGGGTCGTCCTTGGCTTGAAGCCAGACAACTGTAGCTGCTCCCTGCCCGTCTCTGCAGTAAGATGTTAGCCTGTTCGCTGATGGGTCCCAGGCAGGAAATAGCCGTACAAGGAGCAGCGGGTGATCCTTTCGCCCACCAGGCAACCCTGGGAGTTGGAGGAGGGCATGGGGATGGAGCCCTCTCTTCCTGCGAGTTTCATCTTGCACTTGAGATCCAGAGGCGATCCCTGGCTTCCCCTGCACAGGCTGACAGCCCACCGCGCGTGGTTCATTTACAGTACCCGGCCTTCTCTTCCAGAACAAGGGAATCCTTAGAGGGTTGGTGTGAATTAGTCAAATCAGATTGTTTTCCTGCTAAGCTGTAGTGAGAAATAGCGGGGAGATTGGGAACTTGGGGTGCTTTGTGGAGGTGGCAGGAGGAATCTGCGGATAACAGGATGATTTGGGTACAGGTTGGGGGCTCAGACTGACCAGGTAGGAAGGTTCCGGGAACCATTTGTGTTGAGACAGCCCCAGGAGCATAGAGTGACCTGGTTGATGGGGCAGAAATGGACAAAGGGGCAGCCCTCGCCTAATAACCGAGTGCGGCTGGTTCCACCAAGGTGGGGACGTGACCGTGGCCACCACGCAGAGGGGCGAAGGTCAGCAGGGGGCAGTTTCTGTGCTGCTGCCCCATTTCTGGCTGTAGGAAGAACTCAGAAGCTGCTTGGGAATCCAGACCCTAGACCACCCAGGGGCCCCACCAAGTGAAACTGGTCTTGGTGTGATTGATGGGTTTCATGCACCATCGTGAGTCTTCCCCAGGAAGGGGAGCCGGTGACTTTCCCTGGAGTTCCCCGGCATCATTCATATAAATCCTTTCCAGAGCCTGGACTAACTCCTCATGATGACCCCTCCCTGTCAGCTGTGGTAAATGTAATTTAAGCTGCTAGGTAGTCTAGCAGTGTTTCCTTTGATCAGATTGTATTAATCTTGTCTTTAATTTTATGCCCTTTATTTCGGTCCCCCTCAGTCCATCTCGGGGAGACCCTTGCTACTACGCAGCTGGTACTATCTGGAACTGGGGCTCCTGGGGGGTTTTACATCTCAGGCGCTCTGACCCATCCCCATCCGGAGGCAGGCAGGCGGGTGCTGCTGGAAGGGGTGGTAAGAGGGACAGTCACTTCCTAAAAACCATATTCTTTGAAAGCTCACGCGTCCAGATGCTCCATTTGCATCTCAACTTGAGTGACTCTCCAATTGCTGCCCAAGCTCATTAAGTTTCCTGCACTAATGTTCCCGACTCTCAGCACCCGGGCCTGCTTCCCCCCCACGGGCCCGATGGGGCCTCCGCGCAAAACCTGTCTCCTGCCTGCTGCCTTCAGAGGAGACGCAACCTCAGCTTTGCCTTTTGGCTTGTTTTCCTTCTTTCCGTTCCCTTTCAGGGAAGCTGACAGGTTCCTTTCCTCTTGGGGTGGTTGGGGAGAGGCGCGCGCTTGACGGGTGGGCCTCGAAGCTTGTCTAGAGAGAAGCGCCGCGGAGGTCTTACTGCGGGGGTGTGATGGGACGGGAAAGCCTCCCGTTCCTCCCGCAGCGCAGCGTCTCCCTCGCCGGTTTTCTTCTGGTTGCTTTCTCAGCGCCTGCAAAGGTGTCAGGACTCAGGGTGGCCGTAAAGGAAGTGTAACCTTTATTCCTGATCTATGTTCTTATATATACATAATTTAAACACATGCTTTCCCTCGTTTTCCCCGAACTCTGATATCCAAAATAAGCTCAGCACTTGAGCGCTGGCTCGGGGTGCTACAAATATGTTCGTATCTCTTTTACTTTTCTAATAAATCATCCAGATGTCTCGGCTATTTTTATTTATTTTATTTATTTATTAATTTATTAATCCTCACCTGAGGATATGTTTTGTTAATTTTTAGAGAGAGAGGAAGGGAGAGAGGGTGAGAGGGAGAGAGAAACATTGATGTGTGAGGGAGAAACATCGATCAGTTGCCTCCTGGATGCGCCCCAACCAGGGATTGAACTTGCAACCCAGGTCTGTGCCCTGACCGGGAACTGAACCCACAACCTTTTGGCTCACAGGACAATATTCCAACCAACTGAGCCACCTACCCAGCCAGGGCTTCGTTATTTATTACCAAGCTATCTAGCATCTTCCTCTGGAGCATGTCCCTTCTAGTTTTCATCTAAGAATGACAGTGCTATATTCCAAAACCCATGAATGGCGCTTCCAGCGCCAAGCGGAGGGAGCGTGAGGCCGCTGACCAGCCCGCCTGCCGGTGGCTCTAGCTGCCCCCAGACGGTGTCGCTGTGGGAAGCAGCCGGGAGGATGCCTGTGGCTCAGTGGCTGAACCCTTCTTGGCCCTTCTGCGTTTGCAACAGAGTTGCTGCATCCTTGGGCTCCGGAGGAACAGCTCCTAGTCCATACTTAGTATGTAGCCACCGTTTTCCAAAACATGACATTTTGCCCTGGGTGCTGGGTGCTAAGGGGTTCCAGCCAGAAATAGCCCTCCAACTTGAACACGTTGTATCCCAGGCTCCCCCTTTCCTGGCAGCGCATCTAGGTGGAATTGAATGGTGTATTTGTTATCCTGCCCTTCCTTCCTTCCTTCCTTCCTTCCTTCCTTCCTTCCTTCCTTCCTTCCTTCCT